TGTATTCACGCTGGGAACGTGGTTTCCATATCGAGCGTCGGTGCATACGTATTACAAGGTGGTTCTTAAAAATTGATGAGAGGGCCGGCAGCGCGCAAACTAGACGTATCCGGATCCCGCATCTGGTATTCATGGTGCTCGTTCGACGAGAGAGAGAACGGGCAGGATGGAGATAGTTGGCGTGACCCAGGCGTGAGAAGTCAAAGAGAAAGAAAAAAAAAAAGAAGAAAAAAGAAAAAGGAGGAGAAGGGAAAGAGAAGGAAAGTGTAACGCGTGTTCGCTGCGAATTCACCGCGATTAGAATATATCGCGACGGGAATGGCCGAGTGCAATATCGTTCCCCGGAAACGAACCGCAGCCTTGAAAGCCACACCGTCTGCATTACAGACGTTGGCGTAAGTTTGGGGGAAACTAGGATGTGTGTATTTGTGTGTGTGTGTGTGTGTAGTTAAACTACCCGCAAAGCAACGAAATGTCAGCATTAATATTTCAAGCGTCTCTTGTGCGCCGGCCAACGGTCGGCTCTATGCTTATTACACTTATTGTATCGTGGCACGGTTTAAATATTAAAATCTCGTTTTCTCGCTGGACAGAGAAACGCGGGCGTGAGCGTGTTTCGAGTCGATAGAGTCATCGAGATATGTTGCTGGATCTTTATTAATGTTTGAGGGAACATTTTTGGTGGAGATTATATTGGCGATTGTTCCGAGGATTAAGATATAAGGGGTGTTGTTTCTTTCGAATATTTTTTTGTATTCATTCGAATACAAATTTTTCGTAGACGTTCATTGAAAGCTGTTTGATTGGTTCTTGAATATTTTCTGTACTCTAACTGACTTTTCTAACAAATGTTTTAACCGAAAATCAGAACAAAATGTCGGGATTGTATCTTCTTTCTATATCCATACAGAAGATTGTGTTTTTCTTTTTATATATATTCAGATGATATCTTCTATCATTCGTACGAATGTTTACAAAGAAGTTGAAACGTTCTTTACAGTACGCAGTAAAACTTCTGAGATACCAATTTCAATTAAAAGAATTATGATTGTAAAATTCGAGGCAAGGGCGAAAATACGTCTGCGATAATAAACTATAAACTATAGAACGCGATCTTCGCACTTGATAGTTAATCAATATTTAGCTTGATAGTTAATCAATGCCTATATCCCCCCTCCCCCCCCCCCAAAAAAAAAAAAACGAAGAAAGAAAGAAAGAAAGAAAGATTATTTTATCCATCGTCAATCGAACATGGTACGTAAGTAAGCATAGACGTGGAAACGTGCTGTTCAATCCCAATCAACCCTCTATCGGCGATCAATCCTAAAATCCGCGCGCGTGTCCTAAAATCGATTCCTCCGCTGCATTATTTCGCGGCACGGCCGTTGACTGGGCACAATCGAGCCGCAAATAATCGCGTTGTTTCGATAGTGCTTCCGGCCGCGAGCGTTCTTCGACAGCCGCTGGAAGTCCGTCGTGTTCACCTGTCCGCGGCTGGCTGTCCGCTAGCTGTACAGGTGTCTCGTCCACGTAACTCCGGCTGAATAGGAATACGTACGCGGCACGAGAGAGAGGTGGCACCTCGCCGAGAGATCCGCGCACGGCTGACCTTTATGAATACACGAACGAAGGAAAGGGGTTGCAGCCGCAAACACGCGATATATCCCCTGTCATAAGAGGATCCCGTCGAATTAATAAGTGACCGGTTCCCATTCCTGTCCGTTTGCGGCGAATACGGAAATCTGAGCGAGCAAATTGACGTCGAGATCGATTAATGTAGATAATGCTTGGGCGAAATTTTTTTTTTTTTTCTTCTTGGTAGTGATTCGTTTAACAATTAAGAAGACGATTTTAGTAGAGTTACTCGGGATTTTTTCCCTATAATCTTAGTATCTTTCGAGCGAGTGGATAAGTTAGGAAGAATGATTCGAAAGTAAAATTTTCGATTTTATTGTTTCTTGGAAATGTATTATTAAACAGTGGTGTTGTAGTATAAGTAATTCGGATAATTTGTTAATGTTAATAATTGACGTAATTACAGTTAATGGATTTGTTAATTTTTGTCTTAATAGTGAAATAAATCCTTCGATATACTCGTAGGGTTTTGCCGATTTTCATATGAATTAATGATAGTTAATTTTTAACTATAAATAACTTTTCCCCTCGCGTTATTTTGAAAGGTGCAGCGTGTGCAAATGGTAGTTGCGTTTTTACGCAGTCGTAAACGATTTGGGGAGAAGATGGAAGCAAGATGAACGTGTTTAGAGCCCAATTCGACTCTCGAACTGTGAATACTGCAACTATACAGCTTTACAACGCCCCGGAGATCTGCCACGAATTTATCGATGTTCTCTTTTAAACGTTTCCACGCTGTTCCTCGCGTCAGTTAATCGCACCGAGAAATATTTTAAACCGAACACGAATTCGTTCAATTTGCATCGGTGATAAAGATCGGTGATAAAGACACTGCATTCATGGAAAATTTGAAATACACGCAGTGCAGATAAAATGCACAAAAACAAATGTGTATAATAAAATTTATCGAATAAATAAAAGATATATAAAACTTATTTATTTATTCAACATTTATTGGATTTATTGGTGCACTCACTGTTTATATATTGAAATCATTAGTAATTAATATCAAGTACATAAATACTTTTAATTTTAATTTTTAAACATACACGTCTTCTTTAGAGACTTACTCCCATCGTAAAATAGTAAAAATACTTTACATATCTGTTTCACATTATTATTTACTATATCTGTGACAGTCTACAACCTGCATATCAATTATCTAAATATCCTAAATACTCTGTTTCTTTCGTTTTTCACACTCGTATAGAAATATAAAAACGCTCGCAGTGGAAATCATTGATTCATTTGATGAATTTCTTCCTTTCGAATCGGCAAAGGATATCGCCGGAGGGTGTCAGTTGCGCTCTTTGTGACTAACGCGCGCTAGGAAAAGAAAAAAAAAAAGCCGATGGTCACACACGGACGAGGTCGTCGTTCATATTACGCGAGCGTGTGCCAGTTTTTTTTCCAGTGGCAGTCCTTCGTTTAATAATGAAAACGCGCGCATCAAGGATCTCGCATTGTTCGTTTTTTCCAGTGGCGCGCCGATGATCGTTAGACCGAGGTGCGCTCGCATTCCCGTTTCCTTTTTCAGCGCGGTGACTCCAGCCGCGATTATTCCAGTAGCTTTGTAACTCGTTCTAACGATTGCTCTCTTGGTAATAATCTATATTTTAATTGCCTTCAAGAGGATATATATGTATATAAATTATTCTGCTCGTAAATTGTATATCATTCGTGTGAATTCGTTCATATTTTCATGAGCCTAACCCGAGATCTGAGATAAATACGCCCGTTTCATTAGAATTTTGTTAAACTGTTAAACTTGATGTCGAGACGTTTTTCGTCGAGGTGTTTGGTAAAAGCATAAGCATTATTTAGTTCGGTCTTTATAATTTCTGTTTTAGAACCACGTTTCCCTTTGTATCACACAATCTACACTTTATTCTTTACAAAATTACAAGAAAGACCTATCGCAATTTTGTTCTATCAAAGGAATATTATATCTTTTTGGAATTTAATCGTGACATTCGAATATTACCAAGAAATCTTTATCCAACAAATTACACAATTAATAAATTTACCAAATATTCCACAAAAATTTCGCCAAACGTTGTAAAACAAGAGACTTCATATCCGCGAGAAATTCAACAAAAAATAGAAAAGGACGCAGAAATCAACAGTACCATTCCCAGCACCGTTCCTTTATGTCGATATGTCATCGTTAGAGCCCGCGTTATTTCCGAAGCCGTACGGGTCGCGTAGATCCCGACCGTATTTGCGCCGGTTTATCCGGGTGGGCAATGGTCGACGTATTGAAATGTCGCGTGTGTCCAGCAACACGAAACTGTGTGCAGGGGAGGAAAGGTGGGATTATCTGAATACAGTCGTTTCCAGGGGTGAGTTGCGAGTCCCCGGGGGGTAGTAGCCTGGCCGGCCAAGGCCTCCTCGGAACGATTCTTGCCCCCCTCCCCCCACCCTCTCTGTTCTGTGATCTATGGTGGTCATCTAACGTTGTGAATTACCAGCGTCTTCCTCCCAACGGCTCCTCTATACGGGACACGGAATAGATTATTTGAATATCGATATTCGTCGATATTTTTTCGCCCTGTTTCTGGGAATAGGGGACAGTCGTGTCTTGCCATGCGTGTCACACCGGGTGATTGGTCGCGTTTCGGCATAATTCGGCTGATTGATAACGAGACTTAACTCCCAACGCTGTCTGCGATGATCGTATTTACGCGTTCCCCCGGCTTAATCAGTTCCAGCGTGGCCGCTGAATGGATGTTCGTCGAAATTATATGGGGGAGGATAAACCTTCTGCCGAGGCTGACCAACGAATTCTCGTTGTTCGAGTTTTGTGCAGACGATGTATTAAATTTTTCTATAGAAGATTCTAACAGATCAGGACACGTTCGAATTATAATTAATTGAAATCCAAGGCGCGATTAATTCAGCTTTAGAATCATATCGAGATGTCTCGTTAACAAAGGGTTAATTTATGACCATCCGCAAACAGTAATTACCGTCTTGTGCTTGCAACGTAGTTCCGAATTAGGCCATAATTCACGATCCACTTGGTTTCAACGACAGGTTGGTATCGACGATCCCTAAAATTGTTCCAACTGAATCTGAACAGTACTTTCGGAACGAACGAGATAACCTGCGAGAAGATTCGAGACCCGAGACATTCATCGCCATAGTAACTTCGATCTCGTATCCTTTCGTAAAAGCGGCCGACTGCTAAAGATCGGCGCGGAGAGAACGGTTCCTCTCGCGGAAATTCATTTCGGAATTGGCGTCTCATCATTTTTGCTAGAGAGAAAAAGAGAGAGAGAGAGAGAGAGACGAAGTTTCCGCCGTGCGCGCGGCTTTATAACGCGACGTCACTAACGAGGCCCCCGTTGCACTTTTTGTTACAGCCAGCGACGCGCTCGGCCGAATCGATAAGGAGCCAGCCTCTCCGGAATCCATACAAGGTGAGTTTTCATCGTCCGTCTGTCGTGTCCGCGCTCTCGCAACCTCTTCTTCCTCTCTCCCTCTCCCTTTCTTACTCTCGCCTACCGTATCGGACGCGCGTCTCCTCTCTTTCTATCCCCGCCCCGCCGCGCCGCGCCGCGGTCCCAATCGCGATACGATTAACGTACCGAAGGGCTTAACCTTCGCCGATGGCAGGAACATAAATTTCACAAACGAATAATACGACACGGCGTGGTCTGAGCGAAAGGCTCAAGTATCGGGCATTATAAATCCGCGTCGTTATTTCTTCGCCGGGTTTTTGCCCGGGCACGACCGATCCGGGGCCGGGGCAACGTCGTTTAATTGCAACGATCGGGGGCTTTTACATTATTATTGTGCCCTCCCGGTACTTGCAGAAAATCCGCCGCTCGAAAGGAAACCGAGAGAGAGAATCGTGATCGCTGATTGAGAAATTTTCAGAGACGACGAAAGAAATCGAAACGAGCCCCCCCCCCCCCCCCCCCCCCCCCCCCCCCCCCCGTCAGCGTAATGTTCGTGGACTACTGGGCGTTTTGTCGATCGTGTACGACTGGGACTGGTTTCGGACCCAATCGCGAAACAGGTCGCTTACGCGGTGCGTTTATCTCTGCGTTGTCTTATTCTGTTTGGCGCGCGTTAGAATGCAGTTGCGCGTGTAATTCACGTGACGTATGATTATTGATATGTTGTTAACTCGTAAACTGAAAAAAATGGAATTATATTAATACTATATTGTGAAATTTTGGAGTGGAATGTCCGTATTTTGTATTATACTAATACTATTATTATTAACTGAAATTATACTGACATTATTACGGAATTCTGAAGTAAGATCTGCACCAACATATTACTATTTATTATAATGGAATAAAATGTTGATTTTATTTCATAATACTGCTGGTATCATGAATTTCTGAAGTAACTAAGGATTTGTTACATTGTTGGTAGAATAATTTGATTGTGATCGATTTGATTGTGAGGAATTGGACCATTTGCTTTATTTATTTTATTTTTTTATTTAATAATATATATAATAATACGTGTAAAAGTCAATTTCATGTTGGGCCAACGATATTTTACAAAATTGTTACCTTTTTCCACAAGTTTCAAACACGTAATTCAACATTTGATCGAAACGCATCACAAATCGAGTTTAATACTGTGGTTCAAAAATCTTGTGAAACATTCAGCAGTTGTCTCTACAGTAATTAGATATTGAAATTTAAATTAATTGCTATTATATTAACACTTCATGGATTCCTTAATACAATGTACACCTGTTCAAAGACTTTTTAGCGAAGGTATAGCATTGAATAATACAAATCGCGAATAAAATTAAGACGCATGAAAGCATCCTGATGTGTCTGAAATATATATTTCGACCTTGGAATTCAAACTCGGTCGCTTTCCGAACAGAAATCACATCCAAAAGTCCCGTCGCAGCCTCCAGCCACGCAAGTGGATCACGTTGCGTCCTAGGGCCAATCCCTTTCCACGTAAAACACGTCGTAAAACCAATTACACTTTAGCCGCCTACCGGCTAAGCTTTGTCATTTGCCTGGAAGAATTCTTCCGCTTCTTGCCTTTCAACTTAAAGCACAACCTTTTACCCGTTCATCGCCGCGGGAAACCTCGCTGCAGCTCGTATAAACTGGCGAGAATTCTCCCGAAAGCGAACGAAGACGTCACCGACACCCTAACCGGCACCGGCCAGATATTTTTTTCAGTAAATATTCGACGACCGATCGGGAAGAACGTTTCCGAGGGGTTTTTATCGCCTCGTCGGAACCAACGACCGCTTCGGTTTCGAAGCGGCGTTTCTTCTCACGCGACAGCAGAGGATTCCCTCTCTCTCTCTCTCTCTCTCTTTTTCTTTTTCTCAGTATAATTTAGGCTCGCGTGAGAGAGGCGTCTCTCTGTTTCTGCGTGTGCAATTCTGCTGACCTGTCGGCAAACGTTCACCGGGGGCTGTCACGTGTCGCCAAGTGTAACACGTCTCGCAAACTTTCAGCGAACGTAGGTGCTCGGTAATAACGGAGCTCGGTTCTTTAACGAGCCGGATCAGCGGCACGTTTCGAGTCCCTCCTCTCGATGTGCATTACGATCGGTCTTGTCTTGGCGACGTCAAAGGACGTCGAACGTCGATGATCTGGTCCCGAACCAAGAAGAAGATTCTTCTTTTTCGGAACGAGCGAACACCTGTCACGATCACGTTTCACGAGATTTCGGTGCCTTTGGCGTTGATACATATTGTTATTGACTGCTCTCCGCTGTTTCTTCACACTCTTCGTCGTATCTCGAACTTTCTCTACAAGCACAGAGAAGTTTAATTGACACGAGTAAATGCGGCACGGATCTTAGAATATTAGTGACGAGAAGAGATTTACTGAAAACTGAAAAAATTGAACGTTTGTATATTTTTATCCAAACTCTCTTCATCCACGTGGGAAGGATATCACGGTGTGTTTTAATTAGGATTGAAAATATCCGAATTTTCTCGTTTATATGATAGAAATTCGCGTTGAGATAATAAATGAAGTTAAATATACACGCATGACGTCCTACATTTAATACATTCTCTTTTAATTAAACTTATAATTAAAAGTATGGTACAACTTGCAACGCACATTACAGACTGTCACGGTCTAAGAGTTCTTAAACCTTTCTCGATCTTCAAACATTGATACTCTAATCGTAGAAAGTTTCCATTTCTGTGAAATGTATTTTCAGTTACTTTCATTGACGCAGCACCAGTTTATAAAATTATTACATACAAGAGGATCTTCATTCACAGTTCGTATCTTGTCGGTCTCTGTCGAAAAAATGAGCATCGGGAACAAAGCTTCGGAAGAGTGGCAAAAAATCAGCCCAGTCTCTTGGAAATGCTGAACCGGTCGTTACCAGGACGAAAGAGGATTTCGAAGATTCTGCGAGTTCGACACAGATCGTCCCCTGTATTTGTCTAGCGAGGGGAGGCGAGAAAGAAGAAGAAGATTGACGAGGCTGAGGATGAACGAAGAAAAACGAAACGTAAGAGGGACCTATTTCATCGACAACCTGTGCTTCATTTTATAGCATTTAGCCCCGATTGTTTGTCTTATTGCCATTAGCAATGCGCTCCGTCTCTCAATTAGCAATTGTGCCCTTAATGCCGATTCCTTGAACCGAGTTTCGACCACGAAGAGAACGGCCTCGGCAAACCTTGGTGGCTCGAGGGTAACCGGTAGGTGGAAATCGGACGTTGAAGAGGGGATCCGAAGGATCATGTCATTAGGAGTCATTAATATCACGGACCTCTGTAATTTGACACACTTCCGATCAGTCTAGCGCCACCCGCTCCATTTTTCTTCCTTTTCGTCTTCTCTGTTCCTCGCTTTGTCCACCTCACACAGTGGTGACTTTGGCCAAAGTTCAGTTTTACTCAATCTCCAATTTCCCTTTCTGTAATAATCCGCGACTTCGAAATTCAAGTTTCGTTGCTCGCAAGCGTTTCGTAACGTTCCAAGTGAAATTGGCGAAGTTCTCCGTGTTTATTATACAGTAGAAATGATTTGTAAGATTTATAAAATTGAGAGTTACGATTGATGAGATTCATTTCGAGCGACTGAGAAATATATAAAGGAGTATGAGAGTGATCAGTCTATGATCAGACGATAATTTTCACGTACAACCTCCGGTGATGCGCCTTTATATATATTTATATTATGTAATTACTATGGTCTTTCGAGAAACGATTTTTTCAATAATCTCTTGGCTGCTCGATTAAAACCACTTCGCGAGAGGAAAAGGCAGAGAAACTGTCGCGGAGACGAAGAACGGAAGGAAAAAAGACAAAGAACGAAGAAAATATCGCGGAGAGTTTACATTACAAAGTATGATGAGGGACGTTGGTTCGTTCTCCGTACGAGAGAGATCTCCATGAAGCCCGCGTTGAAAAGAATCTCTGGTCTGACCATATCGGTCGAACAGGTGTGCCTGTACGACGCAGGAATAAACGATTAGCGATTCGATTAGCATCCGCGGATCATATCGATCGCGGCTACTTGCATTCCCAATGATACCTGCCCGTTCTTTCTCAGCCGGATTTCGCAATCATCGGCCAGCGTGCGGCCGTGTTCCACGATTCGAAGGATCCACCGCGGCTTGAGATCGAGCGCTGATTGATCCCGATCGAGTTAATTAACCGATGACGATTCGTTATCGGCGACATGCGGACGCCGTTAATTAACCTACCTGGCGCTGCGTCACGCCTGCACGACGCAAAAAGCCACGCGATTGAAAATTGAAAAGCGCGTCACGTGGCCTCGCTACGCGCGCCATGCTACCTGCTGTAAATCCTCTTTTCCGTAGATAGAGACCGAGAAAATACTTGCACGTGTTTTCTGTCCGACTCGCCCTTTGGTGGTCCCGCGAGGATCTTCATCAGGGGCCTCGAGACGAGGAGATCGTCGACGTGGAAGAAATCGAGCGAAAAAGGAACTGGGGAACGAGAGCCATCGTGGCTTCTTTTCTTTCTGATCGAAATTAATAATCGAAGGTCAAGATGATCAAACGACGACGAAGGTAACGTGAAAGGGTAATTAAAATCGAAAGCAATGAATGTTCTTCTTTTCTCTTTTCTTTGTTTTCTAATCACAGCAAGATTATTATGATTCTGTGGTATTATTCTTCGGACTGTGAACAGCCAAGAAAGAATCAAAAGTAACAATTGCGTATCGATGTTATAAAAGTTGCGATGTTTTCTTCGTTCTCTGTCTCTTTTCCCTCTTCTACATTCTCTCATTGTGCTTCTGATGAAGAAATAAATTTTGTTTTCTAATTACAGCAAGATTATTATGACTCTGTGGTATTATTCTTCAGACTGTGAACAGCCAAGAAAGAATCAAAAGTAACAATTGTGTATCGATGTTATAAAAGTTGCGATATTTTCTTCGTTCTCTGTCTCTTTTCCCTCTTCTACATTCTCTCATTGTGCTTCTGA